TCATTAAATGCAATGAAAGAATTGTAATGCAGCCATAAAACTTTACTAACATTAGGTTAAATGAAATGTAGATGTACAAATAGAGAATAGGAAAGAAAAAAAATTAATTACTCACAGGAGATCATTTTTTTGCAGGGTGGTTGTGGAAGGCGCAGGGGAAAATGACATATTCTGTTTCATGTTTCAATAAGAATTGTTGTTCCAAGTGACCTTTCCAGGGGTCTAAACATAGCCCAAACCCAGAAGCTTCCTAAGGCGGGCGGGTCCCTGGACCTCACCCATTAGGAGCTGGCGCCAGGGTGCTCACGTTGCATGCGCAATGGCCGTTCTGCTTTCTGGCTTTCCAATGTTGGCAGGTATGTAATCACATACACTGTGTTGTAGTACATTGCATGGTCGCAGTTGATTCTGAGTGAATGCATGTACTTACTAGATGCTTTTCATGTGGGTATTAAACTGTGCAAAATGCTACATGTTGTACATGTCATGTAGATGAACTCATATTGTACATGCGTATACATGTATTCTCCTTTTTGAAAACAAGCTCTTATAACTAGAAATCAGTAAAGCTGGTTAGTTGATGGTGGAATTGTCCACAGATCGGGAGGTAAGATTGAAAGGTCGAGCAATCAAGGCCAACATATGTCTTTGTAAGATACATGGATGGTAACTGGGCCTAATGGTAACATAACACTTCAATTCCTAAAATCATAAATTTTTTTTTTGTGCTCTTTCCTTGCATGTATTCTGTGCATAATCAGTAGGCTTAACATGTACATGCTGAACATCCAAACTGGAGCAGTTAACAGTAGTTCGGATCATTTTGAACGTGCCGTATGTTCCATGAATGTAAACTTCAGTTGATTTGCAATGTGGCTGCCGCGCTATCGTTAACGACACAGGTTCTGGTTACGCATTTATTTATGCAGGAAAGAGTTGAAAAAATAATGATACGTTCAGGAATTATGGATAATTTCAGCAATGGACAGTGTTGTAGTTTTCAAAAATGGAAAGGGCCATGCATACTCCACTACATCATGCTCACTGCATGGCGCATGATTTTTTGTTGTGACTATGGGTGGCTTTGTTTGGACTTGGAAATGGGATTGGTAAATTCAAGTAAGCAAATATTTGATTTTTAAAATTCAACTACTCGGATGTGAAGTATTTGGTTGCTACTAGCACTACCTCAAGCTAAGTGTTGCTCAGTATGTATACCTCTGTCTTGAATGCTGTATTTTCATTGGCCAAGAACTATCACAGGGTTTCCCCTTAGCGGTCGCCCGCTAGCCAAATGCGAGTGAAAACAGTCACGGGGAGTCAAAACACTTCCCTCAGTCGTTCGGCGGGCGAGTTAAAATATGTACACGTTGCTTGTTTTTCTGATGTGATTAAAGAAAGTAAAACAAAGTCTTGATTTCAAAGTTTTACCTTTTGTCTGTCATGAATGTAACTTTATTTTATTGGAATCAAATAAACCCCAACATCGCTTCTGACTCGCACCTGGAATCCCGTATTGTGTGCTGGGACTACGTGTACATTGTACCTAGTACCTATCATCAATGCATTAACGATTGTTTCTCCAGTAGTCAGTGACCTCTATACATGACCAATATAATTAACATACAATTCATACTGGGAACCAGATACCAAAAACCGATACTGCATCCATAGACTGGGGCAATCCAGTTCGAAAGTGACTTTGTTGTGCCACTGATCGCAAGCCCCTCATTGGACAATCATGCGGGATGAGTGAGTAGGGAGCAGGAACTAGTCTACCCACAAACCGCAATCACCCCACGGGATAGCAGTTGATAGAAACGTCTTGATGGACCATTAACCTTTTTAAGTCAAAAAACCTGCTTTAATTGTTTTTTTTCCACACATTTCATGGGCTAGTAAAAATCTCTGTGGGCTAGTAAAAATCACAATTTACTAGCCTGGCGGGCTACTCTCTGAAAAAATAAAGGGCAAGCCCTGTATCATGACCTGTCGATAAAAACACATTGCAATCACCCATGTTCTTGTCACATCATGATATCATAGACTAGTCCCTACCCCACAGTCCAAAGTTTACTCCAATTAAACCATAATGCAGTGACTGCTTACCAGACTTCTTGCATTCAGTGACACTTGTGCTGATCTGTTAATACATATAGGAAGAGAAATGTGGGAGCGGTGGACTGGCATATACATGTATGTATGATGCAATTAGCTGTTGGCCGAGTACATTTGTCAGTGACTGACATGAAGTCTGTTTACTTGAAGTTCATTTCTTCATGAAGGTTCCTTAACATGATGCTTTCAGGACAGTACTGGAGATATTGGAGATATTGCCTAGAGGAAGACGAGCGTGACCAACGCTGTTAATTGATGCATCTATTGTCTATGCATGCCGTACAACATTTTGTATAGCAACAGACTGAGACAAGTTATTTTTACCAAAGTTGAGAGACTCAAAGACACTTCAGGTGGGAAATACAAGTATGTTGCAAGTAATTCAAGACAGAGGAACTATAACAAAAGAGTTATTGACTGCTGTGATGTGGGAGATGATGTTTCTACCACACTGCGCCTCTGGGGATGCATAGCACCCTGGGCCTCGTCCTTTGCGTGCTAAGAGTTGCTTCGGTGTTAAAACATCACATCCCGTATCACAGTAGTAAATAATTGCTAACTGTGTAGTAAGCTAAGTACTATCATGCATGTGTTCTCGATATACACGTACAGTGAATACACGTAGAAGCACCGGCACCTGGACCCACTTATAATGCAATATTCAAAACATTAGTACATGTATATGTACTACAATGTACATGCACTGAAACTGAAATACATGTAAACTTTGAAAGTCATGGTGGGGGGAGCTTGTATGGACCAAAAAGATTCTAAAGGTGAACCACGTGGCTACATGTGTTTCTTTTAATTTTCTTCCAAAAATTCTTTCAGCATCTTGAATAAAGAAAAAGGAGCAGAGGGAGATCTCTGAACAGCATTTCCAGTGATCGCGCTTGATATCTTCTGTTTATAAATCAGATGCAAGCACCACACTAGGTGCTGACAACAAGGCTAGTACTAACCCGGAGTGAAAAATGCCGATGATATGATGTCTCTTTGTGAGTCCAGTAAATAAAACATGCCAAGAACTGTCACAAAATTGAGTTACAAAATCCGGAAGACTATGTATAGCTAGGGCAGCCTTCCACAGATGTTTGTGAAAACTTGCAAAAAAAAAAAAGCATGTGCATTGATGGCAGGAAAATTGCTGGTACCCTATATTATTCAACCGATCGAAGAATATCGCAGAATGATTCAAATGTAAAACTGCAAAACGAGGGACGTTTGCTCACATGCGAGAGTTTGCAAGGAAATTGCAGGCGAACCTTGGGACAGATACTCAGTGCCAAACACTGCAGATGTGTGTTTCCATCGTTCGTGTGAAAGGGCCTAATGCCTCATCTCTCTCTCATGTTAGACTTGGGAGATGGAATGATGCACTGGCCATTGAATGAGCCAGTTTAACGCCCCACAAAAGTGCATGCATGGAATGAAGCACGTCGCTGGTCATTTGGGAGTGTTCAAATCCATGCTCAAGATCAGCCCCATCAGTGCATCTGTCTTCTGTGGTCTAAATTGCACTCCCAAGATATTATCCAATACCCACTGAGGTTGGAGGCAACTTTGAGCAAAGGAAAAAGTCATTGCTCAGTTTATCTCTTCAAACATTGCCATTTGTTTGTAGCCTTATAATCTGGTACTAATCTCTGCCCAACTCTTGAGGACAACATTAGAACTATCTGCAGTAAGATGTGTGGCTACCAGTCGTATCTCAATTTCATAGTCTTTTCGTTGTTTTTGTACAAATTTACCCTTTTTCTGCAGGGAGGTGGATACATTTTGCAGGACCCGTGCACAAAATTATATGAGTAGGTGTACCAGAAATAAGTCTCCTTCCAGCTTTACCTTGGTTTTGATTTTTGTATTTTTTTATTTTATTTTAATTTTTTTTTTGCTACAACACACAAGGAAGGGCATTCTTAGGGTTTCCATTAATCTTGTGGAAGCTCCATCATATGATTTATCCACTGTGAAGTGGACTATTGTTTCGTAAATATCACCTGATATTTACAAAACAGTACTTATTTAACAATGTTTATTCACAGCACTTGCACTACTACTCCAGAATCAAGCTGTTGTCTGGCATGCTTGAGTGAGTGAGGAACTATACGACAAAAGAAATATGCAGTGCTTGTCGTATTTCAAATGCCAACATCCTTAAAGTGGCAGTGAAACTTGGCTGTTTATTGTGCATGCTCAGTCATCTTACACATGTAACACCTTTCTTGTGGGGTCATAAATTTCATTCATTTGCAGAGCAGTATTTTAGTTCAGTTGGGAAAAAAGGTAACAAGAAGTTTTAGAAAAACCAGATAAACCCTCTTGAAACTTTCCAGAAAATGTTTATGTAAAGTAAGTTGTTCATTCCAGTTTATTAAGAGCACGTTTATCAGCTCTTGGCATTGTGGCCAGTACATGTAGATATGTAAGACACAGTTTTAGTCATTCTGCCCAGTTCCCACTTTGTGGGCAACTCTCCCACCCCAGAAGCTGACCTTTTCAAGACTGGAGAGCTGAATATCAGGGCAGTGCAGTGCACATCAAGTTCTCTGTATTCTTAGCAGAATGTGTTTGCCTTGTTTTTCATGCAGGATTCATGCCCAGTGGATGATTTGGAAGATGTATAAGGTTCTTCTTGAAAATGTCAGTACTAAGTCCTTGTGGTAGGGTTGCTCCTTTGTATGTTCTCTGCAGTTTGACTGGTGGATGTGCACTGAAGGTGTCTAAATTTAGATCTCCTATCCAAGGGATAAATGTGCCCTGGTCTACCGTATACATTGTATGTTGCTGATGAAAGACATTTAAAACTAGTGTAATATCTGTAGAAGTCTGTATGTCGTGGCAAGAAAACTAAATGTCAGCTGTTTGTGTTTATTTTACAGTGTTCCTCCTGCGTCACACCGCTCACTGTCAAGGTAAGGATGATGAAGCCTTTTTTTTTTCTTATTAGGGACATTTTTTGCCAGTCAGGCCTTGTTTCCCTTTTATTTTTCAGGGTTGAGATTTTTCAGCTTTTTAGCTGGTTTTTGCATGGACTTCGGCTTTTTTTCCTCACTGGCTGTGTACAAAAGTACAGGAGATTTTCTCAGTTCTACTTCTTTATGCCTTATTTCAGCTGTTTTCAGCTATTTTTATCAATGGTCAATCTCACCTCTGATTTTTGTGCCTTGTTTCGATGACTACTACTTTCAACTGAAAGATTTCTGGTTTAAAAGCAGATGCTAAATTAAACAAAAAGGTCACTTACCTTAATGCATGCATGATAAAAAAATACCTACTTTTATAAATTTTGCAGATGTAAATCCATATCAGAGCCAGCAACAGACAGAATACACACTAGTAATAAGGGAATCAATATGTGCTCGGCTAGTCCCGACAATTTTTTTAGACCAGATCAGAAGACTGGAGCTGATTACGGCCGAGCCGAAGACGAGGGACATTACAGCATCCATTCTATTGAGCCAGTCTCAAACAATTGGCCAACACATATTAATTCCCTTATTTAAAACCACACCTATCCCATTCATAATTATGCCTTTTTGGAGTCAGAATGTCAAAACAAGTTATGAAAATTACACACATCCAATGATTTTGTTCAACTATTTTTGTTCAAACACCCCTCTAACATTGTTATGGTATGTGCCTCTTACGAGAAGTCGTAATCTCTCCTTATATAATTAAGGAGTTTGCCACATGCATGGCATGTACCCCGTGAGGTGGCAAGAGATCAGCCACAATCATGGACAAAACAGTTTGAAAACACCTTCTGGGAAGCGCAATGAAAAGATCCCCCCTCTCCACTGTTCGATGTTGCGGTCATATCTTGGACCAAGATTGGACCCGACTTACCCATTGAGAAACAACATTGACAGTGGGCGAGGGGAGAGGCATGTTCCAATAAGATTTGTCCAGGATTGTAGCAGGTGCATTATCAGCTGTGTAAGACTGGTCACACGGCAGTGCATTTTGTTCACTACTACATTCAGCCTCTGTCAATGGTACAGGAAGGAGACAGAATTGGATCTTCAGTACTTGATATGGAAGAACTTTGTTTCACGGATTTCACTAGTGAATGGTTTGGAAAAAGGGAAAATAAAAATTGGGGATTTTGATTATTTTGATGTTTTGCTTAACAATGGATTTTGTAATAAAGATATTTTCTTTCGAGGCGTTTTTAATTCCCGTTTTGGCCAAGAAACTGAAAGGTGTGACAAAAAAATCCATTGTATGATTGTATTGTGAACACAATATTGTATACGTGTACCTATGTATATGTAGTGCACATGTACTGTACAATGTACATGTACTTTACATGGCCAATGCTGGGAAAGCATGCATCTACCTGACATTGCGCAGTGAATGTAACAAACACAGCATGTCCAAACTCCCTGTGTTCTGGTTATAGTAAACAACTACTGACGATGAAGGGGGAACTTGGGCCAGTGTTCCTCCTACCAATACTTTTTCACTGAGGGATGGGGCCCCCACTTGTGGCTTGTCCTATACTGGGGCAGGGCTCAGTGGATCAGTCTACATGTATTAATGTCTGATGCTGAACGGCCTCATAACTGGTCCCCTCCCTCTGGTAATCGTTTGGTCACTGTTGACAAGAATGGTTATGAACGAAGTGAGGACCAGGGTGGTGCTATTGAACTTTGTCCCTACAATGTAAAAGGGCACGAAACAGCTCAGGAGATGATTTAATTGTCGAAAGCTCTTAGTGAATGTTTAGATAAGACCATTCACGAAAGTTTCTGTACGTATGCATCAATGGTGTAACTACATGTAGGGCTTAATGTCCAGGGGAAGGGAGCTAAATGTCCGGGGGGGGGCTAAATGTGCAGGATGCACACTAATGTTTTTCAAGGGGGCACTGCAAGAAAAGCTGCAGCTGTATAGCTATATAATCTCAAAGATTATTCACAGGTTTCAAATTGGGGGAGGGGGGAGAACACGGGCATCCACCAGGGGTAGGGTCCTCCCCCTGGTTACTCCACCTGTATGTATTTTTCTTTATCATGAATTTTTTTGAAGGTATCCGTGCTTGTGTTTGTATTTACCCAGCAAGTTATGATTTTACTTGTGAGTGCATACAGTGGCAGTTCTCGCTCGCCATGCAACAAAAAGTTTGTTTGTTGTTTCGTTTCACAAGTAGTCAGCGATGTCCAGGACTTACCTTTCCCTCCATTTTTGTGTAGTGTAATGGCTTTTCGTCAAGCGTAATGTTTGTTATTTGGAGGGGCACGTTTGATTACTTTGTGGAACAAACGTTTTCTGAACTGCTTATCTGCCTGAGCATGGCCTAAGTTGGTAAATCAGCATTAAAAGTGCTAAAAATTATTTTCTTGCCGATCTTCTTTGCTGGAAACATTAAAAAGCAGAACTAATTTTGGCCCATTGAACCACTATGAAGTAGCTTTTTTTAAGGTAGTTGAGACATAAACTATTTAGTTGTAACATTTATATTAAAATGTTGTATGTGTTGCACTCACAGACCTTAAAATTTAATTCATGTCAGAATGTAGACTACATGTACATTGGGGAGGCCCAGAAAACCCAGTATCACAGCTTTTGGTGCTGTCCTTAGGCCTTTACGTGGTCGTAAATGGACTTGTTTGAAACTGTGCCCTCGGACTGTTACTCATGCAGTCATAGTGATCATAACAGCAGCATCACCTTATTGCCACGATAAAAGAGAAACAGTTGATGAGAAAAGCCGTTCATTTGCAATTCATTTGATGGTGTTGTGGGAGATGAACGTCTGGACCTGTGTACTGTCATTGTAAAATAAGTTGGGTTTTAGGCTTATTCATTAGTTGAGAGGTGAAGTGAAATGTTCATGGTTAGCCTCTTCGTCCACTTCTTGTTGTGGATGTCATCTGGATTTTTTTTCTCTAATTTTTATCACAGGAACAGTGAGGTAAAAACGTGACCAATCTATCAGAAAATGGAATACTAGCAAGTCAGAACTTCTCAATTTACACTCTGTCGCTTTCTACATCAGAAGGCCAACCGTGTTATCTCCAAACATTTCTTTACTGTGGCATTCAAATAATGTTGCATCAAGTTGTGCTCACATCTGTGAAAGTGGCAGTGTTTCAGAAATTTTGTGGAATATGATACAAATTTAATGAAGGAGCTATTTACATATGCACTTCAGATACCCTCAATTCGCTTTTCCAAGGCGTCTTATTTTTGTTTGTCTTTGATCATCGGAAAACTAATGGTTGTTAGAAATTAACAAGAATCAGGCAATCTTGAAAGTGAAAATAAAAAAAGTAAAATGGCCTTCTACTCTTTCAGAAAAACCCTAAAACCCAAAATGATAAAGCAAAGCTAATCAAAACAGATGCTTAACTTTTTTTTTTCAACTTGGCTTGATACAGACTGAAGGGTATCAATTCTACATGGTTGCCAATTTCATATGGGCCACAAAGTCACTGGAATATTTGTTTTAAAATCACACAGGACGGCTTTCAATTCCACTGGCTGGATTAAACATTCAAGTTGATGTCTCTTAAAGAGAGGTAGAATAAATTTAAGGAGAGCTTCACACAAAACTCTTTGGGATTATGGGAATCCAAGGTGAAATCCCATGCAGTAGCTTTGACATTTACACTGCAGAAAAGTGCGTTGAAAAGTATCCCTGTCGACAGAGATAAAGAAAGTAGATTCCCGTTATAGTGCTCTCAAGGGGACCAAACAGAATTGAGCACAGTGCTATAACCTATTGAATGCATGCACATGTACCTCTATGTACATGTATAAATACATGTATGTGAAATTCCGTGAAAAAAAAAACTTCTCTTCAAAAACTGCCACGGGACCTCATGCACACTGCATCGCGGCACACGCACTGCATCTACACCCACTGCGACATCCTGACTGCTACTGCCTACCCATTCATGGACAGTCTAATCGCTGACTTTTCCCAATGACCATGTGACCACAGAAAGTGCGATGTCATTAGAAAACCCAAGTGAAAACAGATCTGGCATGTCACACCGAACGTGACACATAAAGGTACAGGGTACACGTACAATTTAAGCAGCTGATTTTATTTATCGGTAGAAAGAAACCTTTAAGTAACAAAATACTACATGTAAGTATCTCAATGTTGATTATTGTGTCCTAAACTACATCACGAGAATAAATAAAAAATGCGAAAATAATCACTACAATGTTGCCACAGCAAAGCCACGTGGCCGCAGCTCATCGTGGTGAGCACGTGCTCATGATCATGCAGCATGGACGGCCAGTCCAGTGCGTGTCTGCACTAAACTACTGGCATCCAGGATGGCCGGCCAATCGCAGCGGCCTTGCGATGTGGTTTCATATGCATTGATTTTCAAAGAATCTGATTTTCCAAGGTTAAGAGCGCTGTAACCGGAATCATTTTACTTGCGTTATATGGTTCTCGGGACCGGAAATCTCGAGTGTTATATCCTGAAAAGCATTGTAAATGGGAGTGCTATAACCACATAAAAATGTACACAGTGAATGGGTGTGCAGTTGGGGAAATGAAAATAGAGCGTTATATCGGTAAGAGCGTTATTTAGGGAACGCTATAACGGGAATCTACTGTAACTCCCTTTTAAAATCCATGTATGCAGAGCTTTACGTTAGTGTGCTAGGATTTCAGAAAAAAAGAATTGCTGGAATTGATGTATGGGGGGTCATTTATGTAAACTATGCTCTGGCCTGATGTGTGCCCAATGATTGTACACAAATGTTTTCATTTCAGTTATTTTGCTCAACTTGGTAAACTGCGTTTTTCAAGCATAATTTCTCAGTGTCTATGTGTAACTGCCCACCTGAACCACAGTGTCATAAGTTGTGATGCAGTAAAAATTTTATATGGTCACCTGTAACAAAAAATTGTGGCCCGACCACTCAGTATCAATATGCCTGATGA